CCCAACCTCACCTTCGAACACCCAAACTTCACGGATCCCGAAACCCACCCCAACTTAGCCCCAAAACCGTAGTTGTCGGGACTGATTTCGAAGGTGGGGGAATGGTTCAATGTTGGTGGCGGTTCCCGATTTCTGGGCTGCGGGAAGGGAGGAGGAACCGGTTTTGGTTTTTTTGGAAAGCGAGGGTACGCCGATTTCCGGTGTTAGGGCTGGTTCGGTGGCGAAACCCGGTGGCGGGGGGCTGGGAGGGGGTGGTTCGGGAGTTGGCTGGGGAGAAGGGCCACCGTTGGTGGCTGGCTGCCTGCTGGTCGTTTGAGTTTTTTTAAAAAAAAAATCTTTTTTTTCTTTTTATTTTTTTTATTTTTTCTTTTTTTTTTTTAAATTTTTATTTTTTGAAAACAAGTAAAATGGTGAAACGTGTCACTGTGGACCCCACTTAACGGAATTTTTGGACGGAGACCGTTAAGTGGTGGTAAAAACCTTTTTTGTAACATTTGTTTGGTGTTAAAATACGTTTTTGTTTTTTGGCGGATGTTAAAACCCATTTTCAGATTTTTGTCAGGTGTTAAAATAAAAAATATCCTAATTGAAAACATGCTTGACTTTTAAATAGAGGAAGAAATGAAGGACAATGATATTTGTAGGAAGAGGGCTCTGAGAAATTACAAAATCAATTACATTTTATTGAGAAAATAATAATAATAATAATAATAATAATAATAATAATAATAATAATAATAATAATGGATTCAGGCCTAATAAGTACTCCGTAATACAGAGTAATAGGTTAACTAAGCATTTGTGAATACAATAATTCAGTTTAATAAAATGGTAGGTAAACATCACAGTTTGATCCATGAGCTCAACCCATAGGGTATTTAAATTTTTTTCAATTATTAATTTATTTTAGGTATAACCTGTCATAAGATCTTAGTCGATGTGTAGGTCATTTATTTATTTATTTTTTTAATTATATCTACTGCGCATGAGTAGACCTCATTGTATTGTGTGTAGGGCTGTGCACCGGTCCAAAATCGGACCGAAATGGACCGGAACCCGGAATCACCTGTTTGTGCGGACCGTAGATCAGACCGTAATCAACCGGTCCGGGTTTCGGTCTAGACCTGTTTATTCCGATCCGGTTTGGTTTTGGACCGGTTATATTCTTTTCTTTTCTTTTTTTTTGCATTTTAATATCTTTATATACATCATTTTATGACGTCTTGTTTTTTGTTTGCGTGCTTTTCTATTTTACACCTAGACTTTATAAGTTTTGTACCTATTTTTTAGAAATTTAAACATAAAATTAAAAATTTTCACCCAAAAATAAAAAAAATACATTTTCCGGTCCATTCCGGTTTTTACCCGGACCGGACCGGAAACCCAGAATCACCAATTTGTGAGGACCGAAGATCGACCCGGAATCCAACGGTCCGGTCCGGTCCCGGTCCCAGTCCGGTTTCCAGTCTCGGTCCTTTTTTGCACACCCCTAATTGTGTGTGATGTGTTATACAACGCCAAAATGTTAGAGTGCCGATTAAGCAAATATTTTCATACATAAACAACTTGATTAGTATCCACGCGTTGCATGATGATTGTTAAAAGACCAAATTAACCAAAAGGTTAAGCTAATTGTTGAAGCCTAGGATTAATTATCTATCCCTACACTCTAGGGTAGGGAGCTTTACCTACACCCCCCATCAAAACGCTACGTTTAACCCCTTTACCTCTATATATACTGCACACTAATTGCTTTTACTCCATATATATATTTTTTAAAAAAAAAAAAAAATTAAAACAAAACCTCCATTTGCATTTTCTCTCTCCTCACCCATTTCTCAGCCATTTTCTCTATTCTCACCCATTTCTCAACCATTTTCTCTCTCATAATAAAAAACTTTAATGACAAAATTATTACAAAATTATCATAAGAAATTGTTCAATCACTTCGAAATTCAACAAAACAAAGGCGAAATTCGAAAAGAGTAAGTTATTTTTCTTCAAGTTTGGAACAAAAAAGGAGTATAAACTCTAGGTTTTACTATTTTTTTGTTGCGATCGATTGTATTTCGAGAACATAATCGAAACATCAACCATGGAAATTGTATCAACGTAATAAGTATAATACTATAGTACATTTTAGTAATTTTTGTTCTAAAACTAGTAAATTAAACCAATACATTCTTTAATTTATTTTTTATTTTATTTTTTAATTTTTTTTTGCAGAATAAAGAAAACACTTTCAGAGAAGAAAAACAAAGATTGTGGAGGAATATAAGTATTTATAAATTTGGTTCGTAGTGAGTTTATATATATATTTTTTAATGCATGTTCATTTCCATTTTGATAAACGTTCATTTACATATTAGTATACTGTCATATCATAGTTTGGAGTGGAAAAATATATTGATAAATGTTTATTTTTATTTTGGTAGATGTTTAATCACATAATAGTATATGGCCATTCACAATTTGACGTATTAACATATAAAATTTTGAATAAATGTTTCATGATTTTGTCATTTTCTTCAAATATTCCAGGTTCATTTTAATTTTGAATTTTCAATATACGTCTTTTTCTCATATGGATGTATAGTCAATTCACATATTGATAGCTTCAAGAATGTTTATTTATGTATATATTTTATGTATATGTATATGTACATTGATCATTATCTTTTATGGTCATTTTCAAACTAATATATGTTCCTTTATATTCATATTCATATTGAATTACGTAAATATGTTCATTCATGTATTGATGGTTGTTCATTTTCATATTAATAGATGATCATTTCCACTATATATTTTCATTTATATATTAATATATATTCATTTATATACAGATAGATGTTAATTTTCATTATCAATCTTGTCAATTTTTATACTTATCCATGTTTATATACATATGAAAATTGGTTCATTTACAACATTTATTCTTGCTTCAAATCTAATACAGTTTTTTTTTTAGTTAAATAAGAATCGTGCACATAGTGAGTTAGACCACACAATAGCAAGGAAAAAAAGGAAGATGACAAAAAGATGGAAACCAAGAAGGCATGAAGTCGCTGTAACATGAACCAATAACACAAGCTTGAATTTTTCGAATTTGGATCGAGAAATTTTATTGTGTTTGATAATATATGTGGAATTGTATTGTATCGTTTAATATCCATTTGTTCAATTTTTGGTGGTATACAATTTCATTTTGATTTTATTGAGAAGGAAATGAACTTTTTCTTTGTCCTTGAGTACTACTATAAAATAGTCATCTAGAAACACAAATACAAAACTACAATAATTTAAATATTTCATGTTGTATTAGCATAATTGAACATTTAATAATTAGTCTACATAAATGAACATTTAATAATACAAAAGTGAACATTTATAGTGATGAAAATGAACATTTTATAGGTAATTCAGAACGGAAAAAAAACAACCAAGATGACGTCATTAGGAAGAAGTGGGGGTGAAGGCATCTCTGCCTACTTCGGGGTGTAGACAAAAATTTTCAGCCCAAGATCGGTTTATTACTCTATCACGCCCCTCACATGAAAGCCCATTGGGCTTGAAGTGTAGATGTAGCATGGGCCCTACCATACCCAATGCTTAATATTCCACTTTGAAAGGAGGGGAGATGAGATTTGAACTCGTGACCATTGTATCATGCTAGCTCTTGATATCATGTTAAAGGACCAACTCAATCAAAAAACTTAAACTAATGGTTGAAAGCCCAAGATCGGTTTATATACTCTATCAATGATGATAAGTAATTTATATAACTACCTCCGTTAAATATTAGTTGCAACTTTGGTGTATTATTGTGAGATATAAAATATTCCAAAATTGCAACTAATATTTAACGGAGGTAGTATATGAAATAAGTAATAGCAGGATTATAAATTTTTACTTTTTTTTTCTCTTTCTCTTAATTTATTTATTCCATAATCAAATGAGTATTTTGAAGAAATCAAAGATTGACATTATCCATAAAATCAGTTAAACAATGATTGAGCTTATCTATAAAATTGTAAATCAGATTTTTTTTAAAAAATAAAAAAAAATCAATAATGATATCATACATTTAATTGGCGGGAAATTTTTTTATGAGGAAGCGACACATAGGATAGGGAGGGGCTTGATGATGTCAACAACGTTTTGTTTTAGTATTAGTAAAATAGAAGTCTCAGCTATGAGAAGCCACAAAACTAAACTCTTACTATTATAAAAGGCAACAAAATTATTTGAGATGGTCATTAAATTTTGTTTTTATTTAGGAAATGGGGATTACACGCAATACATACTCAACATATTGTTGCCTTATTACACTTAATTAACACAATAACATCATGATCACACAACTTCTACTCAGCATGCATGAACGAATGTCATACACAATAAAACTTTAGCAAATCCTTAGGCTAGTTTCACAGTTCAGCCTCATAATCATCATCACCATTGTTGGCTTTAAAAAAAGTCATGAACTAGTTGAAATGCCTTTGTAGTTTATTGATGACAAGTGCTAGAGATACTCGGTTGTTATCGGTCGTAGTAGCGCCTTCGTACATTAGAAGCCCCATGTCTTTAGCAATTTTTATCGACACTGGACACTATCCAAGGCTCATTGTTAGGACACCTTAAATTTAGCGGCGGCGAGACTACACCTCCCTTAGAATTCTTAATTCCTACAGTGATCTTCTGCCAACTCGCTTCTAATTCGATCGTTTTAAAGTCGGGTTTATAACATTCTTCAATTTTTTTCTCAAATTTTCGCACAATCATTTGCTCGATAAATGCAAATCGTGTTGCCACGGAAAGCATTTGCATAATAACGAGCATAAATCGAGCTTCACACGTATCAACAACGGGCTTCCCATAAACAATTGTTAAGGAATATTTTTAGTGGCTGTTTTCCCAATCCCAAATTGGCTCTAGAACCTGCTTTACTCTCAACCTCAGCATATGTACTTTTATAATTCATAACTAGACGATTAGCTTTACCTTTTGCCTCTGGAAAGAGATTTCGTTTTAACATCGTTGGGAAGATCCTTAAAAATATGTGATCTAAAGTTTCCATTAGTTTTGTCAAGATAAGCAATCACATATAAATTAAAATATTTACTTAAATTCACAGCAATTGTGATTGTCCTTCCCTCTGATGCCGTAAAATCGACAAAAAGATACTTTTTTGCTGCTGAAGGTGCAGCCATTACTGGTATATCTTTGCGGCCGCCATATACAAATTTATCATCCTTCACTTTGTTACGCACATCGGTCAACAATTGTGAGTAGGTATCTGCTGTAGCACCTTCGATGTCGAAGGTTAAATCTGATGCTGCGAGAGTTGGTTCAAGCACCATCCATATTGCTATAGCTACCACAACATAAGCGCACATGAGTTTGATTCCCACCATTCTACGTACTGTGTCAAAACTAGCACTACTACAAAGTTGGCCTAATGTAACACCTTGTGGTAACACTTTATAAGTCAAGATATAAATAGATATTTAGGTAGCACTTTTGTAACACTTAGATAATAGGTAGCACTTGTATGTAACACTTCAAAGTAACACTTTACATAGAGTAACACTTTCATGTATTTGTCAAAAAAAAAAAAAAAAAAAAAAAAAAAAAAAAAGGACCCTTGAATTGCCTAACTCTCTCTCTCTCTCCTCTCTTTCACTTTTCCCTCTTTTCTCCATCCATCTCTGCGATTCACACTTTCCATCTTCTTCATCAATGGAAAGGCTCAAAATCTCTCTGAAATTTTACCCCAATTGTTAGATCCTTACTCCTCACCAAACTCTAGCTTCTTAACAAGAACTCAACAACCAAACCCAAACCCTAGCTTCGACTCAATCGAACTATCAAACGCAAGAAAACAACCAAAAATACAGCTGACGAGATCAATTCGGCGGCGAAGAAGGGACGACGAGCCATTGAAAACGCCGTCTTCGTATGATGCAGCTACTGCTGCTGCCGGAAATCCCTCCCTCTCTCCTCAATTTTCACTCAACAGATCCCAATTTTCATTCTCACTCTTCAATTTCCACAATATTAGCAAAAATATTGTCTAAACAACATGATTTCTTCTAGTGAGCTCAAATCCATCGAATTTTATCGGTTAGATTTCTTCTCCTGTTCTAATTGCATTTGAAATTTGATAATTTTTGGAGTATTTGATTTATTGTTCTGTAATTCGCATTTTCGAAATTAACCTGATTTGTAATATGTTTGCGTATTTTCATAATTAAATGTTGTTTGTGCTTTGATTTTTTACATTGCGTAGCGCAATCAAGCTTGAAATTGTTTTTTTTTTTTTTTTTTTTTTTTTAATTTTTTAATTTTAATTTATAGAATTTTGAGTGTTATAGATGAAATTGTTTAAGAATGTTGAATATTTGGAACTTGAGTGGATGCATTCTTGATATTATCATAATACTACTACGAAATGATGTGATGATGTTGTGAAATTTTGATTGAATTTGGTTTCGGAAATGCTAAAAAGTGGATTATATATGACTATTGATATGGGTTTTGGGGAAAGATGACTAGATGAGAATAAGAAGGAGCTATTATGTATCATTTACTTGTTTTATGAGACGAACTGAAGAAGCAACTTGCTGCTCTTCGTGTCCTTTTGATGGACAATTATTATTCCAGTGAAGAACCAATCATTAAGGTGCTTTTGTTTTGCCCCTCCTATTTCTAAATTTGCTTACTTTTATTTACTAGTTCAAGTCTTTTTACACTTATTTAAGAGCTCGATTTTTGTTCAAAGTGTATTGTAGTAATTGTATTGATATTATAGTATTGATTTTAACGCTTTATTGATATTGTCAATGGTAGTGATGTATCTCTGCGAGATAGCTTATGTTTAGTGCTATTTTTTTCATTTATGCATTATGCATTATGAAGAACTTATGTATTCTTTTGAGTGTGTGTTGTATTAGTCATCAAATTTGCATGCTTGTGCATAAATGTTCTAAGAAAGCACTAGCCACATATTTGTTAAATTAGAATCTAAAATGTTTTGCCTGCTGCTGTTGAACACAACAATATTCTTTGCCAATAGATGAGAAGCCTGTTAAGTCAAATCAATTGTTAAATTTCAGATTTTGTAGATTTTATAAATTTGATTTAGAAGCCATGATTTATGTAATTTAATTTA